TATGAATTTTTCGGGACCGCTAAGGATAGTACTTCAAATTTGAAGATATCACTGCTGAACAAAGTGACATGTTAAAATGATGATGCTTATATAGGATTGAAAAAGTTATAGAAACTGCCAATAGTTACGAATAGGGTTGTGCCGAGACCGAAACTTTTCATCTCCGTCTCGGTCGTTTCGGTCGATGTTTTGGTCTCTCTCTCGTTCGCGGTTAGCTTCGATTCCAGTATTGATGATTGTTGGTCTCGGTTTATCCCTAGTTACGACTGAATACGTTATAAAAAATCTCCTCCCACGCTGCACAAAAGAATACAAGAGATGCCACTATATATGTACTAAAATGTTGCACAGATCAGCCCTGGGAATTTTTCACATAGTTCTAGTTACTACCCTCGGGTAGATTCAGAAAGGTACAGGACCATCTCTTGGTAGTTTCTTAAAAGTTCCAGGTATCATCTGTAAGTAGATCCCAAATAGTTAAAGAGACCATCCATGGGTAGGTCCTAAAACTGCTGACTACTCCCTCTGACTAAGTCCTTAGAATTTCTAAGTATCACCCTTGGTCAGGCTCAAAACACTTCTAAGTATTACCCTTATATGATTCTTAAAACGTTCTGAGTATCACCTATAGGTAGACTCCTAATAGCTATATGGGCCAGTTCTGGTCTGATCCTGGAAGCTTCTAATACGATCTCACGGTAGGTTGCAAGTAGCTATAAGAAATCCTCCTGAATAGATACTAAAAAATTCTAAGTAATATCTTTGGGTCGGTATTTATTACGGAAATAATTATTACACCTTATCAATTATGAGTTGTTGCTTTTATTAGTTTCAATTTTTTAAACTTCATTACTCGTAATAAATAATAAAAGTAATAATAATTAGGAATATACCGCTCACGCTCATGAGCGTAAGTTGTACACTCCTATGTTGCATCCTACTTGATTTTTAAGTATCGAAAAATTCTTCGGAGCCTAGCAGAATTCATCGGAATTGACTAATATGCCAATCTTATCAGTTCACTCATGCTTCTTACTCGAAAATCCTACGACCAATTCCTCCTTTTCCTGATCAGACTTTTTGGATCCTTGTGGATCCTGATGGACCCTAGGATCCAAAAGGATCCGCTTTTCCCCCCTTGTCATATAACCTTGAATTTGTCAAAGAGTTATAAGTTATGCCACATACGGTATAAGCAATGCTGCAGTGAAGAATTTTGCTGATTTCAATTACATTATTCTACAAGAAAATCAAAGTTAAAATTGATTGATAATTCCGATTTTCTTGTAGAATAATTCAATTGAAATCATCAAAAACTCTTCACTGTGATGCACTGATACATCGTCACTTCCGTCGAGTATTGACTATATTCTATTGTATGAGGATTGGAAAAAACCAACTAACGTAATTTTTCAACGTGCAGCAATCCTCACGTGCTTTTTCCTTCTCTTTCTGCATGAATGAAAACAGCTACTATATTAGCTACTCTGCACATAAATCATTTCTACGCGAAGAAAAAGCAAAAATATGCATGCAGCGAGGCAACTGTATTCGCTTGTGTTGAATGATTCACGCAAACCAACTACGACATATCACTATTCTTTCAAAAATCACAGAACACTGTGAATATAAAATCACATGGTCCCAGATTAATAATTCCTGGTTTGGCAACAAATAAATACCAGAACGTTCTCTCCCACGGCGTCTACATAAACTATTCTTCATACAACACCGTATTTTCCTCGTCGTTTTCTATTATTTCCTTACGATTTCACGTTCCTCGTCTCATGAGTCAAAATTGAAGAGACAAAAACTGCTTTTCTTTTCCTTTCCTCTGAAGAAAATATCTACCCATCATGGTGAAAGTCGGAAGAAAGCTGTAGTATAAATTACAAGGCCGATAATGAAGTAGCACCTATTTTTATTTTGCCTTATAACATGTCAAGCAGCAATATTTCATTTCTCGAAGGTCTTAAAACACATTTACCTGACGAATATCGAACAGTGTATAATTTATTTATTCAAACTTTCATGATTGGTGACCATGGGCAACGAGTCTGTGCTATTTTTGATGAATGCACACTTACGGCTGAGAAATTAGTGCAAGGTGCTCATCGAATAGCAGCGGCACTATCTTCTTATGAGATTGTTGCGATTTGTATGCGACCTTGCATTGAACTCATTATCACATTATGTGGCGTCATTTTACGCGGAATACCTTATATACCATTAGAACCATCTTTACCACCTGAACGAATCGACTATATCATTAATGATAGCCAAGTGTCGGTGATTATCACTAACGACTGTTTACCAGACTTGAGGAAGACTAACGCGACGACTTTGTCATATTCTCAACTTATTGGCGCAGCTATCAATTCGGATAATTGTCGAATGGTAGAAGTCACAAGCGAAGATATATTCTGTCTTATGTACACATCAGGATCAACTGGCCAACCAAAAGGTGTAGAGATTCCACATCGTGCTCTTGTCAATCGATTATATTGGCAATGGTCAAGATTTCCATTCCAAGAAAAAGATATTTGTTGTCTAAAAACATCGATTTCGTTTGTCGATTCCATTGCAGAAATATTTCTACCATTATTTCGTCGAATACCAATTATCATTCTAACAAAATCGTTGCTTCTTGACGTTGATCAATTTATATTAGTTCTGAGTATTCGGCGAATATCGCGTATTGTATTGGTCCCTTCTTTCCTCGCCCTCTTTCTTGATCATTTACAACACAGTGAGGCGTCTCTATTCGATTTAAATATGATTGTATGCAGTGGTGAAATATTGCCGATAAATCTCATTGAATCATTTCTTGCTCTGAAAAATCACTTCTCACCTATATGCCGTCTACTGAATTTATATGGTTCGACTGAAATCATGGCTGATGCTACTTGTGAAATTTTTGATTCAATACATGGATTATATGATCGACTATCATATGAAGGTCATGTTAGTATTGGATCACCAATTGATAATATAAGGGTAGAAATTGTTGAAATGGATGAAAGGGGTATCGGAGAAATTGTTGTTAGAGGTGAGGGCGTTGCTAATGGTTATCATAATGAAAAAATGGCTAGCAAGCAGAATCTGACAAATAAATTTATTCCTACCGACAATGGTCAATTTGCTTTTCGTACAGGTGATCTCGGGAAAATGTGGAATGATCGAATCATCTTTTATGGTCGAAAAGATAGCCAAGTGAGAACACTGTTTGTATATGAAAGTGTGATTGTCTAAATAACTTTTCAACTTAGGTGAAACTCGCAGGGAATCGGGTGGATCTGTGCGAAATCGAATTAGTTCTTCAGCGCCATTGTCATTGTTGTCACCCAGTGGCTGTTTTCCTGGAAGAAAAATCCGAGATAGTGGTGTTTTTACAAGAAACAGAGCAGCCGATAAATTGTGACCGAAATTTTCTAGCAAACTATCTGCCCAACTACGCAATACCGACACGATTTATTACAATTACCGAATATCCACTACTTGTTTCGGGTAAAATCGATCGGCGACAATTGATTCATTCGTTGAATGCCATCGAAAAGAGAGAACAAGAGCAAGAAGAAGATCTTTCAGAGGAAGATCGAACATTCTTTTGTGCACTAAAAGAAATCGGTATCCCAAGAGGTAGCATTGATCAAAACTTTTTTGATGCTGGTGGTTCATCACTAAATGCATTGCTGCTCGTTGCAAAACTACATCGAACAGGCTTCCATAATCTCACTGTAGAACGTTTAATAAGTGCAAAAACTTTACGTGATATTCTCTTACATCGAACTGAAAATGAACGATCTCGTGGCTTATTTTTTGAAAGCAACAATGAGTATCACGTATTACCACTTGAACAAGTCAGCAAGGATGAAGCGCTGCGGATTATTACAAAATCATTTATTGAAAAAGGTGAAATCGATGTGTTGGTGCATCGCCAGTGTCGTGAACTGAAAGATGAATGTCAAAATGAATGGTATACTTTACTTGATCGCCGCTGGCCTCATTACATCAAAAATGGACTTTCCTTTGGTGTGGTGATGAGCGATGGACAACTAGTCGGTATTTCGTTATCCAATAATATAGAAGACGAGGCACATACCGATTTAGCAACGATACCTCGACTTGCTCCTCTTTTCCATATGATTGAGAAAGGAGAAAATAAAATTTTGGAACAATTTCGTTCTTCTAATTCTAATATTCAGAAAATTATGCACAGTTTTCTAACTGCCGTTAATCCAGATGTTGAATCTAATCGACGAGTGTCAATTATGCATTTTCTTGAGCGCCATGTACTTGAAATTGGATCAACAAATGAATTTCAAGCAATATTAACAGCCAATGCTGGAAGTGTAACACAGCAAATTGCTGAATATGTTCTGAATTATGACTATCATCTGGTTCTTCGAGCTAATGAGTATTGTGACTCATCAGGCACAAGAGTATTTTCCCATGCGCTCGAACAACATACGATTGATATCAGTATAAAGCTATTGATTTAAATTTATTTGAATTCTATATTAATAACTCATGACTGCTTTCAAACCAATTTTTCATGTAACAATAATATCAAATCATTTTCAACTATTTCTTACGTTGAAAGGCTACTCTATGAAATCAACCACTTCCACATGTTTTTCTACGATGTTCGTATAGAGGCATTATTTTGATGTAACGTTGGTGGATGATTCACGGCCGTATATTTACACTGAGTTGGATATGGTATGTTTACCGCCAGCATGAAATGGTCGTACATAGTAGTATTTTCGCTGCCCACCAGTCATATTCTCACCGTATATGGTGCACGTAAGCCGCCGTATTTCATCGTTTCCCATTTTATCTGTCCCAGGCCCAAGATTACGGTGACCTTGAACGACTCGTAAACGGGCCGTATTACGGTCGTATATGCATCGTGTCTTATACGATTACCAACGTCCTAAAAATGGTGTATTTCATAGTTTACGACATGGTGCATAAACTACCGTAATACGGTGCCTACCAAACGGGCGAAATAAGATAAAAAAAAGGGCCTTTTATAGTCGGGCGCGTTTGACCTGGAGCATGACCCAGAACGATAATTACAGTCGCTGCAACGGTCGAAAACGCTACCGTATTCTACCTTTTCATGTTCAAGCTGAGCAACCAGATACTAAGATCTGACAAAGTTTCAACATCTGATCTTGTAAGATCCGACAAAAATCGTACAGAAAATTGTCATCTCTGAAATCTTACATCAATTCGTACTATCAGATTCTTGAAAGATCGTATTGCATCGTAACCCAGGACGAGCTTTACGACGTCCGTATACGGTGAAATACGGGCCGTATACGGCCGTTTTCTGCCGTATACGACGGTAAATCGCCGTATTTGGCCGTATTACATGGCTCCGTATTACGA